TTTTCCTATCCAGCCTAAGGCAAGCCTCTTTGAGTGAGAGTTCAGTAGCTCCTCCAAACGTGGTTGGAATCTTGACCCAGATTTCTCTTTTTTTTTTCCCTAAGGCCACCAAGGATGTGAACTACACACAAGTGGTCTTTTCAGCCCCTGGAGGACGAAGAAATGACTCTGTCCTGGACTATGAGAACATAAAGGAAACCACAGATTATGTTAATGTCAACCCAAAAAGCCACAAGCCCAATTTCTGGACTTTTGTGAACCCTGCTGTCTCTGAGCCAGTGGAATACACTCAAGTGGCCGTGTGAATTCTAGGCTTTTTAATGGAGTGACAGTTCCTGATGAATTCTTGCACTTATCTTGTGGGGGAATTACAGTTTGTCTGTCTGTCTGTCTGTCTGTCTGTTTAAGCAAGGCATAGGAAAAAAAAATAATAAACCTGTATCTCAGCTAGAAAGATTCAGATCAGATGTTAGGGAGAACTTCCCATTAAGTATGAAAACACTGGGCAAATCAGTAGAGAAAGTGATGAAGTCTCCCTCATAGAAAAATTTTTAAAGATTTTCATCAGCTATACCAGAGTTCTGTTTGGATCAATGCCTTAGGATTAAATGTCTCTCTGAGCTCTTTAATTATTGGCAATAAACAACTTCCTTAAACGTTTTAAGTAAAACGGCACCCACCAATTCCCCTTTCCCTCCGGCCTCACCTTGCACGCGCTTCCTTTTTCTGGGTTGTATCCTGCTGAGTAATCCTGCTCTGCTCTCAGAACTTTAAATAGCGCACTTGGAAAGCCCACCATCATTCAACCCTTGAGTCTGCTGTTTCCTAGGAATGAAAGGTAACGGCGTTCTAGTAACGCTAACCAGCATCACAGCCTGTTATTCCAGGGAAAATCTCTTCCAGTTCAATCCAATAAACTTCCGTATCCATTCTTGGTTTCTTATTGTTTTTACTTTTATCACCAGTTAGTAGTAAAAGGACATTTTCTTAACTTGATTAAGAAAAGCTTATCTCAACTGGGAGTTCGAGATTTGCAAATATTAACTAGGATATATAAAAGAGATAAACAAGTTCTTCTGTATAGCCCAGGGAACTATATTCACATCTTGTAGTAACCTATAATGAAAAAGAATATGAAAACAGATATATGTATGTATGTGTATGACTGAAACATTATGCAATACACCGGAAATTGATACAACACTGTAAACGGATCATACTTCAATTAAAGAAAAAAAAAGACTAGCTTATCTCAAATCAGCTCTTTGCATAATATTTAACTGTAAGGTCCTAGATGCAATGCTATTTAATCATGAACAAAGTAAGAATTTCTACGAGCATGCCATTCCCACTGCTATCTGACATTGCTCTGGAAGTTCTAATCAGTGCAATAAAACAGTTAACAAAAATAGGGGCTATAACTATTGGAGAGGAAGATAAAATTTGTCATGGTTTGCAATACGCCAGTCCTAGAAAACCTCAGGGAATTAACGTCAATGTTTTAAAACTGATAATGTAGTTAAGCAGTGACTAGATAAATAGATAATGTACTTTTTCCAACAGCTAATTAAGACATGAAATGAAAACAAAAATTGCTCAAATAGCTAAACAAACAACTCAAAAATAGAAACATTAGAAACACTCCTAGTCAAATTCAAACCACGATGAGTGGTGTTGGTTTCTAGAGGCCATTTATTAACTGTGCTTCATCTGCTGGCTGGAAATAAACTTTGCAGCCCTGGTACTGAGAGGGGTGGGCGGCTTTCTTCTTTCTGGTTTCATCTTCAAGATGATCTGAAGAAATGGTTCTGGTTTGAGTTCCTGGGGCAGGAGATCGTTCCCAGTCTACATGTCCCTACACCTTTTAGGTACATTGTTATTCCTCTCCCACTATGGTTTGAACGTTTGTGTTCCCACCTCTCGACTCAAATTCGTATGTTGAAATCCTAATCCAAGGTGAC